TGCAAGAAGTTGCTCAGATACAACGGATATCCGAATAAGGTCAGACAATTTGCCATTGCGATGCTCACCTCGCTATAAGTTCCACCTGTTTACGTCGCTTTCTTTATGCCTGTTCTGCAGGCTTTATTTGAAATAAAATTTTAATGAAGGAAAAAAATTTTATTACCAAAGAATAATCTTTTTTTTTTTGTTGTTTAAATCCTTTCTCTCTCACATTTTATTATTTCATTATCTTTTTATTAGATTTTAATTAAGCTAACTTTTTTCTTATAATTTTGATAATTTATATACTTTTTTAATTATAATTAATTTGATAGAACACAGCTCGCGATATTCCGTGTTACACTTTATCGTGCGTACCTTTTTTAGAGTTTAAAATTGATAGTAACGCGAAAATTCTTTTGCGAATTTTGACAAGTAGTCGCAAGTGTTCTTTGAAGACGCGTCGAAGTAAATCTTAAAGCGCTCCATCTCTCTTCGAGGAGAGCATTAATTATTTGACGAGCACCTTGATGAGCTTTCTCTAGAAAGGCACTTAAACTATTCTCCGGAGTAGTTCCTCGCGAAGACTTAATGTGCATGTCCTAGTAACCCGTTCATATTGCTATATGTACATAGAAGAATCTAGATAAGTACAATTATCAAGCTTTGTCTCTCTCTCTCTCTGCATTAGAGAACACATCTCGAGCACAATGCGATTGATTTACATCCATTGACTTGAAACTTACACCTTATGCAATCTTAAAAGCCAATTGAAAATACTAACTGTTCCTTATATCGCAATATCTTCAAAATATTTTAACGGTGATAACTTTGTAAGGTTTTCAAATAAAATTGCTTGACAAAAGATATTAACCTATGCAAAAAAAATACGAGATTAGAATTCTTATGTCTTTTACGCGGATCACTTTTTATATTTTGTATTGGCGTATAAGAAACTAATACTTTCATGAAAATGTGATGTGATGTGTTCGTTTAGCCGTTGGTCTTTCCATTAACGGCTATCGACTTTTCCGTCCGCTTTTCTTAATTGGACGTGATTTTAATCACATTTGTAGAGAAGCAATCGTTCTGATCGCATTATATCGGAATCTCTGCGATAATTGACCTAACTAGATATAAATCTACCCACATATCCATTTATCTATCTAATGAAACTAACTCTCCATCCATCCATTTATCCGTATAATTAAACTGTCTATCTGTCGCTCGATTAAATCGAATTTTCTGACTAAGAAGATGCCTTTAAAGCGTTACATCCAAACTGAATTCTCCGTGTATTGTTGATTGTCAACTAAAGCTTATATTATAATATTATTTTCTTCGAAAGACATTAAATATAGTTATTGTTTATTTATAAACAATGTTTCTATTTAAACAATGCAAAAATAAAATAATTTCAAGTATAAAATAAAAGTCACATGGTAATGTTCTCGGTTGACTTGACACCCAAGACATTACTGTGTTTCCTGATATAAAATTCATAAAAACATCGTCAGGATGTTAAAGATGTAAATAAATTTTCAATTTGTCAGAATAGAGGCGTAAATTGCAATTTATCTCAAGTGTTTCCTTTGACAGCCGATTTAAAAGATTTAGACAAAATGTGTCGCAAAACGAAAAAGTTTCGCAAAATGAATGTGGCCCAATGAACATTTCACGCTCTACAGCAAGTTCAGGATCTCCAAAATGCACCGACAAACGGATAGATAGAAGAATAAGAGAACGAGAGAGAGAGAGAGAGAGAGAGAGAGAGAGAG